TTCACCACCGTCATGGAACAATAATTGCAAACCCAGATCAGGAGACTCAGAACTATTGCCCCATGTCCCCCCAGGGTGGGGGGTGTAATGTGGACTCTGGTTGTTTGCATCTACAACCTCGCTTAAACATAGGTGATTTTAAAGGTTAAGAAATAAAGACCTCCAATAGTATCAAAAATAGAAAGTGAACTTGGCCTCCCGGAGAGACATACATGTGGAGACTGGGGAAGTGGGAGCACCGCCTTTCTGTGGGGGACAACTTGACCCACATTAGTGAAGTCTTTATAATGATGGTCTGGGAAAAAAAGGCATTTCTGAGGCCACGGAGCCTTTTCCTGGGAAGATGATGATCCCCACTCTGTCTCTAGTGAATCCTCTCACCCCCCCACCTCACCTCTGGCCTATACCCCAGTCCTTGTATGCGTAAATAAATAAAATAAATCTTTTTAAAAAAATTTGGTAGAATTCACTGGAGAAGCCATCTGGTCCTGGACCTGTTGTCAGTGACTGTGGACCTTCCACCGAGGACCGACCTCAGACTCCCAGAGGGTGAGTCTGCGCAGCCCTGCCCCCAGCTCAGTCAGGCTGAGGTGTCCTTGGGTTGGAGGAAAGCGGATACCAGAGACACTCTCACGGGCTCCATGCTGAGGAGAGGAATGTGGGGGTGGGCCAGGCGCTGGCCCCAAGGGGGTGGCAGGCACTCGGGGGTGTCCTCACCACAACTGATGTGGCGGGTCACTTCAGAAGGCGACTGAAAACCAGGCTCAGTACTTGCCCACTGGGAATTAAGTGGCAGCCCAGACGTGACTGACTGGACAGAAAGCCCCGATGTCCTTCCGCTGCCCAGGCCTGCTCTCTGGCGCCACGTGTAAAACCAGGCAGGATGTCTGAGGCAGGCATTTATTCCACAGGTGAAGGAAGCCATTCTGAATTTCAAGTTGTCCCGGAATGGCAGGGGTGTGGGGAGGCTGGGTGGAGGCCGTCGGATGCCACGAGGCCCCAGGCCTCATTTCCTGAAGCAAGTCCTACAGACTCCCTGTCTGGGAGTGCAGAGGTCTCGGAAGGACCAGGAGCAGGGAAATGGGGCGGTGGGTGGGAGTGGGGCCGAGTCTCCATGACTCTTCTCTGAGTCCGTGGCCTTGGGCCTCCATGATGAGAAACTACGGAACACAACACTTATTTGACCTTGGGACCCCTTTTTCCTGGAGTATCTTCAGGGACAAGTGTTGCAAAGTAGGCCCCAGGAGCACACATCTGGGGCGGCTGTCATAGCACCCAAGGGCACAGGACCTAGGCCCTTCATTCATTCACTCATTCATTCACTCCCTGCACGGGGATGGCTGAGTGTTACCAGGTAAGTGCTGAGCTGGGCACAGGGCCTGCAGTGAGATGGTGAGAGCTCTTCTGCTCACCCCGCCCCACCCCCTCCACTCTAGCCCCCAGGCTCCATTATGTGCTGAAAATGCTCCAGGTTTCCTCAGGCTTTTGCTCTGTGCTCTGCTTCCAAGAAGATCCCTCCCACATGTCTGCGTGGCTGACCCAGACGGCCCCGGAGGCTTTGCTCGATGTCACTTCTCAGCCCTGTCTGCTGCCCCTCGCCCCACCTGCCCTGGGCACCGTTGGCCCCTGCTCCATTCCTGTCTTCTCAGAGCCCTTAGGATCCTCAACTCCATTTTTTGTATTGCTGTCTTTGTATTGCTCCTACCCTAGAATGGAAGCTCCACAAGATCAGGGATCTTAGTCTGTCTTGTCCACCCATCCATCCCAAGCATTTAAAATGGCTCTGAAGACATAATAGCTGGTCCATAAATGCTGGTCAAATGAATGAATGATATACATGGACCCCCATCCTTGTGGGGGTTTATGACACCCAAATAGAAAGCTTGTGGGATTTGTTATGGGAGAGCTTATTCTATGTAACATACATTTCCAAGTGTTTGAGATACAGGTATCTAGATACACAATTGAATTAAATATCAATATCATCTCAAATGTTCAATGTCAAAGGGATGGATTCATCCACCCATGTATGGAGCAGCTGTTTCATCACAAGAGTAATTCATATGCCTGGGATCGATCAGTGAAAAAAACAGACTAAGATCCTTGACCTTGTCTAGTGTGGAAGACAGCCAGATGTCCTTCCGGCCTGCACCTGGCCGATATCCTCACCTGAGGCCCAGAAGATTCCAATCCTCTCCAGAAAATCATTGATGGCCTCTTCCTCTTGAGAGGCCCTGATCGGGTGCCCGTGAGTTGAACCTGAAGAATTTTAGGATGCTCTCTGCTCAACTGTCCTGACTGCCCCTGGTACAAGTGGTCATGGATGCTGTGGAACCTTCTAGCCTCATTCTCCCTAGGGAAAGTGATCAGGCCCCCTTCTGGACCTGACATGACCCCAGGGAGGTAGGAAGGTACCATCACACCCAGGTGGCCTCTACCCTGACATTTTTACTGACCAGCCCACCACCCGCTTATAGATCTCAGAAATCCACCATCAGACAAAAGGGGCGAGTTTTTAGATGGTGTTTCTATTTTGACCAGCCTGGGTTTGCTGAAGGACTATTTTACTTTCCCCTCCTTTCAGGATCAAGCTGTGACTTGACTTGACTCAATACTGTGAACCTCACCCCCACCTCCACCCAACTCTGCCTGCGAGTGTCCTTCTAGGGACTGTTCCCAGCTCCTGAGAGGAAGGGCAGAGAGGCGAAGGCCTCGCTCCACCTCTGGGTGAAAGCCAAGCATTGTGGAAAACAAACAATCTCGCGGTTATTTTTACCTCTGTCGTTATAGGATGCTTTATAGGATGTGCCTGGCAAATTTTTAAAACTTTAAGTCAGAGTGTCAAGCCAGTTGAGTGACTTAGCCTGGGTTTTGAACTCCAGTCAGAAGTGGGCTCTGAAGCTGCGCCTTCTCTGTGCATTGTTGTGTTTATCCACATCCAAGCACAACAAGACCCTTCCATCAGATTCTGTGTAAATCCAGCACACAGATAATTTGTCAAAAAGCTTGCTTTCAAACTGTTCTGCGGTTTTCTAATCTCGTGGCTTTTCTAATTTCCTAATCACATAACCTTGAAGTCGCAAGGCACAGCCTGTGATAATGTGTGTACATGGTCTTCATTATTATCACAGACATTTCTGGGGGGAACAAGAAAGAAAACACACACACAAAACACACACCAAAAAAAGCCCTCACCGCCCCCCACACATTCAAAGCCGCCTTTAAAGTTCTGCTTTTGTCCCGGTTCAATCAGATCCACATTAACCTACTCATCAGACAGCAAGTGTGTGGGAGCATAAGGGGATATTGACTTTAAAAATTTACTGGCGAGGCGTTCAGAGCCTGCAGGAATGTCAAAACTCCAACCTGCATTTTGATGTTTTTGCCTCCGGTTAGTCTTGACTGACATGCTCGGAGCACTTTGGTCTGTGCTCTGGCATCCATTAACTGTCCTTGACTCAATGTTACCCCAGCCGCTCTGGGCAGCTCTCACCGAATGGCTGCTCAGAGTCGCTGCCCCAAGGTGTAAGGAAAACTCACGCCCCGTTTTAAGGGATCACATTGGGCTATTCTTGGCTTCATTAGGGGGGCATTGTTTGATCCTAAATAATGAGAGCCTGTTAATTATTATTCTGATAATTGGGCCCTCGTGTGGGAGGGTGGCTGAGCTCGAGGTGTTTTAAAAGGAAGCAAGTTTGGAAAAGGGAGAAAGAAATGTCAAGGTCGAGGTGTCTTTGAGAGGAGTTTGTTTATATGCAGAGTGTTTTCACCTAAGTGGGGACTGGGCAGCTGTGAGGGAGGCTGAGGAGCGCGGGCTGCACTTACTTCAGCTATGGAGGATTACAAAATTACTACCTTAGGCAAACCGTTCAAAAAGGCTCACCGGTGCCAGGACTGAACCTGTAATTCCATCCGTGGCTCTCGGGAATTGCTCCTCTTGGAGGAGAGAGGTCTTCTGGAGAATAGGAGTCCTGGTTGAACCCCATCTGCCCTCTGGGAACAACAGAACGTTGTTTGTATATGTGCTGCCGCTTGTACTGTTTTTCCCATTTGACCAGCAACAGCAAGTCCATGGTGCCGCAACTGTCTCCTGGCCGGGTGGAAGGGACATCTGTCTGCGCAGGACGCACAGACATCAGCAGGGCCCGAGGCGGGCAGGGCGTTGATGACCTTTGTGTGAAAGGAGGTGTTGGGGCTTGGGGGTGTGGGTTTCCTTGAGCTACTCAGCCTCAAAGAATGCCTGAGAGGTAATGAACGTCTTACTGTTCCAGACAACCCATAGGTTGTAGGGACGCCTTGATGGTATTCATTCTGGCTGCTTTCTCCTGGTGCGCACTGAGTTACAGTCACACCGACCATGTCATCATGGAAGAGAAAATTCCAGAATCTTTGAGTCCACAGAATGTTATTGGTTTCCGGGAATCCAAATTAGAGCGCACAGTGTCTACATCCTCTTGAAGGAAGTGTTGGGTTTCAACTCATGTCTCCATTTCAAGGAAGGAAGGGGGTTTGGGGGAAGGTGATCTTGCGTTTGAAGCTGTATCCTGGGCTTTTGTCAGACTTTCAGAAACTTCAGGTGGAGCTGGCCGGCTGAGATGAGAGCTGGCCCGCCTGTAGACCAGGTGACAGTGACCGCCAGCAAGAGAAGAAATAGAGAGAAGGACCATGCTCGGTTCGAGTTCCAGTGCGATGTTCACCTGCCTTTGCTGGGTTCTAAATCCCGCTCTTCCAATTAAACTGGAGAGACTATCAAAAGTGCCTGTTCAAAACGGTGACAGAGCCTGGAGTTTTGGACTTGCCTGAGCCTTCTTCATAGGCTCTGTGATTCTCTTTTGTAGGTGTGAATGTTCTTTGAGATGCACCATGGGAGGCAGAGCAGGAGGAAAGGGTGGGAGGGCCCGGGGCACAGAGTTGGGAATTGAAGAGTTAGTGGCCAAAACAGGTGATCTTGCCTGTGATCTCTCAACTGCTCCTAACAGCTTCAATGCATCTCATAGGTTCATCAAATGACCCTGCACTCCACTGAACATGACAGACAAGTGCAGAGTTATTAGAAAGCAGAGCCATCTTGGTGTGTGTGTGCAGGGGAGCATGGAAATCAGAGTTGGCCAATGGAGGTAGGTGAGCAACGCCAACGGGCAAGCGGAGACATGGGCTGCACTGACGACTGCCTGCTCACGAGGTGGCCTTGAGTTTAGCTGACTGTTCTTGGGCTGAGTCCTTCTCTGTGACAGGAGGGGCATGTTTCCCTTTGCACCTGGTAGGGGTGTCATGAAGCTAGTGTAATGTTGTACTCGTGGGTGCTGCAGGACCGCAAAATGATGTGGAAATGTAAGGTGGCATCATTATTTCTAGATCAATCAGGACAAGGGCACTACCCCTTCCTTTGCCTCCACTTCCCAATTTGCTGCCTTTGCATTAACATCATCTGTCTCTCTTTGGAGAGCTCTCAATGTGCTGAATTAGACATGGCCTCAAGGGCCATGGTCAGAGACTCTTCTGGATGAAGACATCACTCAAAAGAAGGAATGAAGTTCTGCTCATCTCCAGAGCCTCCCACTCAAGTTAGATCTTCTTCCAGTTTACAGTGAGGGCACATACATGCCAAGGCATTCAATGCCTTTGAATTTGTAAAGATGGTTCCACATGAGGGACTCAGAATCCAGTCTTCACAGCTGGTGCTCTGCCCTTGGGAGGTCTGGGTGTTCATGTCTCACAGCTGGACCTGGATAGTGGGTGTTATGCCCCAAAACGCACACACACATGCCTTCTCTCTCTCTTTCCCTCCCTCTCTCTCTCTCTCTCTCTCTCTCTCTCTCTCTCCCCCCCCCGCCCTTTTCCCACTCAAAATAGTTATAAAGTGCTTCATCTGCTTTTTAGCTGGAGTCACACCCACAATTCTTCTAAACTTAGCATTTCTTGTCATACACACAAAATACCCATAGTTCAAAATGCCATCCCCTTGCTGAGAGGGCACTTCCTAAGGACAGACCTTGCCCTGCCTACCAGAAGTCTCCAGCCCCTGTGCCTGCTCTCCAAAGCCCATGGAGAGACAGACTGAAGAGCCCACCGATCTCTGGCTCTGTCAAGACAGGTCACTCCGAAGACCGAGTAAGCGAGGAATGACTTAAAACTGAAGTGTTTAGAAGTAGGCATTTGAGTGAACACGAATCCTGAAGTCAATTCAGAATGTGATTTGGAACCACACCTGACCCCGCCTCACCTCCTCCTCCTCCACTTGTGGGGTCACTGTTCTGTCAGTTTCTGGGGTGACTGGAATGATGGGCAGTGCACCCTCCCAGAAAACCCCTGCTCCCATCTCTTCATATCTCCAGAAGTAGCTCTGCTGTTAAGTTTTAGATCATCCACACCATCAAGTTCCTCACAGACTACAGGTAACTGGAGACTGTTCACTTGAGAGAAAATCTTGGTTTTTTGACCTTGAATGATGATCCTTTCATTGAATCCTCACAAGAAACACAAGCCCATTTAGGTTTGACTTGTTTGCAAGTTTTTAGTCAGGAATGGCAGGATTAGCATGGATGGCATGAGACAAATTCATGAAAATATGGCCCTGAGTCCTCTGTTCTGCCTCCTGTCATGCTGTCACTTCCTGTCACACTTTGTCCTCAGGGACTTGATGTAGTGACTGGTCATTCTAAGAGAAGTATTTTAATGCCAACATGAGTTGGGCTGGTTTTCCAGAGCTTCTGTGATTATGTCCACATCCGTGTCAGATCAGGATGGCCACATGGGCCCCACGGCCATGACCGTACCTGAGGACGCAGTCCCTGCTCCACACCCCAACGTGGCGCTTCTACCTAGGCACTGACCCCCTGGTTGAACTTGAGTTCCTTGCACAGTTCAGGAAACACTTCAAGCTCGCCTCTCTACAATCCTACCACACTAAGCTCATTCAGAGGCCATGCCACAAGCACACGTGTTTCAATAAAGTCAACCAATATGTCACGTCAGATTAGAAGGTGCCAGGCCCTGGCCTCGGTACTGGAGAGGGAGGCTCCCACCCATCCTGACTCTCAGTCCTCGAGGAGACGACATCGTCAACTCTTGTGCAGATGGGGATGAGGGTGATGTACAATCTCTATTGACGACACTTGAATCGTTTCTCCCCCAAGTGGTTTAGTTCCTGAATTCTTTTTTCTTGCAGCCCTCCATTCTCACTCCATGGCGACTGGATTCCATGTCCATGTCATCCCTCCAAGGTGGAGGAGCTGGAGAGAAGGGGTTCACACTGACAGAGGGAACCGACTGTGAGATCTACTAGGGGTGGCTAACGGAGGTGGGGGTGGTCAGTCTTATTTTTACATCCAAAATAGAAAAATTTTGTGATAGACCTGAATGCTGGGGCTTTGGCTAAAAAAGAGACCTTTTGATACTTCTGGGCACTGATGCTTTGTGGGGCTCCCAGCCCCCCTCGCCAGCTGCCTGTCACCTCTGCAGTCCTCCCATTCTATGAGTGCATCTTCCTTTCCTACTCCTCTGTCTGCTTTTAATTGTTGGACTAAAGTGGAGTAGAGGGTGGAAGTATTTTCTGGGTTCAAAATTGTTTCCTGTCACCCCCCCTCAGAGGGGGTCTTGAGTGTGTGCTGACTCCTAAGAGACTCACCCTAGGGGAACAGACTTGATCCTGCAATGAAATCACAAGAGCTTTGATTGTGTTAAGCACCCACCCCGAGGCACACAGGTGGTGAAGGCAGTATTCTTCACTGCATCATTCAGATCTCAAAGCACACAGTAGGTCCACTTTACAAAAGAAAACTAAACCTAAGTCATTGTCCACGCTCATGGAGGAGAGCAAAACTGTGCCATCCCAAATTATTTCTTTTTCATAGAGGGGGTTGGGGAAATTTGAAATTCACAGGAGGTTACTTTTTAAAAAGTGTGTGTAGATTTCTGTCTGAGGGGGCATCTCCCTTGCTGTCCTGGGGACACCGTATTTCCCTGATAATTCAGTGGAGATGATTCACAGAAACCTGCATGCTGTCATCTGCCAACCTTGGGAAACGCCTCACAGATCTCTGCTCTTTACCACAACCTCCAGCATCTCAGCTGAGCTGTCTAAGGTGGAGTCTGAGCCATGTGGCGAGTTACTCAGTGGCATAGGGCCTCTGCCATGTCCACAGGAGGGAAGTGGATTATGATTGTGCTTCTTTATGACTTTGCCTCTCATCAAACTGCCTGGTGTTTGTTTGGTTATTGCCAGCCTAGGAGAACCCAGAGGGGCGGGCTAACCTCGTCTGCACCCCAACACACATAGATCCTGGTGACAGAACACCCTTGAGGATGGTTCCCAAATTCTCGTCGGGTCTTGCACCATGCACACATGTATGCCTGCCCTGGCTGCCACTACCCTAGGAGGGCCCCCACCGAGCCCAGAGTCCTCAGCCCAGCCCTTGGGGGCGATACCAGATCTTGTTGGGGTTGGCGTGGAGATAAGACTACTTATGGTGGCTGTGTGGTGGTCTAGCATCAGAGCAGAGCTAGACCTGTGGTTTCATTTGGGGCTTTTTTCATTTGGGGCTTTTCATTTGGTTTCATTTGCACAGGCAGCTGTGCAAAGCGAGAGGACCTGTGGTTTCATTTGGGGCTTATTTTCTCCTCTGCCAGAGTTTCATCATCCCAGCATTTCCAGAGCAGACCCACAGCTCCAAAGACACATCCTCAGCGTCAGGTTGAAGGCCCTTCTGAATTTGAAGACCCAGAGATTTTGGGGAGCCATGAGCTGTTTTCCTGCTGAAGAAGGCCCTGGGTTGAAGCCCTGTACGTGTTAAGCTCCTTACAGATTTTCCGACTTAGCCGCCTTTTGGGAGCAAGGTGATCGCGTGAAGGATTTTGATGCTGCCCCCAATAGTGCTGCATGGTAAATAGCAAATTTGGGCAACTGGATCATAAAAGATAAATTTCAATCAAACATGTCTGATGGGTTTCACAGAGGTGTATATCAGATCAAGTTGCAAATTCAGTGTCTTGCACTTAGTAACGTCAAAATGAGCAGCTTCATCTTTTCCATTTTTTTAAATTCCCACAAAGGGTGTCAGGGATTGGCAATTATTTCCTCTACACTTAGCATCCCAAGGCCCTGGGGGGCAGGGAAGAAGGAGGGTGAGAGAAACGAATCACTGAAGGTATCCGGAGGCTTATGAAGAGAGTGCTGACTTGGTGGGGGTGTCTGGGAGGGAAGCAGGAGCGGGCAGCAGCAGGAATGTGGAGGGTGGGGCTTGCCTCTTGAAAGCCCACTCCCTGCTGAACAGCTCCATCCATGTCACCTATGGGTGCGCCAGAGGAAGAAGCACTGTCCTGGCTCCACCGCTGGCTTTAGCCCCGAACTGCCATGTCCTTAGACCAGTGACTTATGTCCTCAGGGTTTCACCTCATCCAAGAGGTAGATTCTCCACCTCTTTTGGAAAGCAGAATCATCTGGAGAAGCTTTATGAAATACAGGTGCTCACAGCTTGGAGTTAGGTGATGCGGGAAGGACTTCGGGGAGACCTGGGGATGGGATCCAAACCGCTGGACGGGGTGCTCTGAAGGTCCCATGGGGCATCACATGTCTGCATGTCCAAGCAGAGCGCAGGAACACTGGTGAGATCCCTCCAGGGGACCCAGCTCTGAGACAGGACCAGGGGACCCCAGGGGCACCCTGGGGGGGGTCTGAGGGTTTGGCTGGGAAGTTCAGAGCTGCCAGTCCTTAGTAGGAGGAGCAGATCGTGGAGCAACGTCCTCCTCGGAGGAGTTTGCATGTATATCTGCTGTCAGCATTGAGAAACACGCCAAGGGCTAGAGTCAGTGAAAGTGACTGTAATAAGCGGTGGCGAGGTGGGGCGGGGGGTCGCCCTTTCCCAGGAGCCCACCCTCCTCCACTCGCCCGAACAACCAAAAAGGAACTTCTCAAGGAAACTCTACGGTGGAATTCAACGAAACAATAGAACTGGGTTTGATTTGTTTAATTCTGAAATCAAGGTCACTAGGAAGTACTCCAGCTCCTGCTTGTGTGGTTCGGGGTTATTTTTTAAATTTTTTTGGCAACATCTTTCTTTTCATTTGATGGTCCTGTCAGCCCAAACTGAGTGTGTTACTGATCCTGCCTGCATTCAAAGCTGTTATTAAGTGGAGTCTTTTAGATTTTAGAGAAATGATAATGGTTCCAAAGATGACAGAGAGTGGCAGCTGGTGACAAAAAAACCCCTTGATAAGACGACAACAGTAAATCAAACTACCGCCACTTTTTCGTTTCATGTTTGTTAATACCACCTCGCCTTTTGAAGTTTAAAGCAAGGTTCAAAAAAGCCAGGTGCTGAATCATAATATTAAAGCAAGTGGGAGCTCCATGAAAGCGCGGAGATCTGAGGGGGGGAGCAACAAACATAGCTTTCAAGCGCCTTTTGTGGGCCTCTCTGCAGATGTCAGCAGCGGTTTCCCGGCAGAGGGTTCCGCTTGTAGCAGCGCCTCTGGCTGATTCCCGCGCTGCGTTTCAAGTGTCAATCAAAAGGGAAGGACGCAGCTCAGGTCCTGGTCATTGTCCTGTGAAAAGAGCCAAGCATTTAACATTGATTTAGCTCCCTCAATATACAAAGATAGAGCCAGCTTTGTGCATGGAAAGGGCCGCTGGCAAGGTTGCTTGGAGAGCAATGGCTGCGGCCATGCGCCTGGTTCAACTGTCAGGCTGGGTGTCTGGAGCCCACTGCAGAGTTACCCAGGATCCAGATGCAGATGCAGCAGAAGCCCCTGGCCCCCGCCAGCCGGCATCTCCTGGTCCCGGAAACCTTCTTGATAATGATGACAGTAACTCTCGCTCTCTGGAGATGGTTCGCAGGAGAGGAGGGGACTGAGGCCTCTGACCCCTGGCCCTGGGCCCCCAAGGGTGGGAATATCCCTCCAGCCACGTGCCCAGGTGGCTGTGGGTCTGGGGTGCCACCAGGTCCTGGGAGCCCTGCCTTCAGTGGAGTTTCCATTTCCTGAGAGCACATGCGGAGTTGGCCAGATTCAGGTGGGGGAGAGTCCACCACACGCAGTGTCACCAAATGACCTCGCTGCTTTCGTGGCCCCATTTCTCTCTTCTGTTTCCTCCTCCCTTTGTCTTGATCTGTTCTCCTCCTCCCCACCTGCTCCTCCTCCTCCTCCACTCACTTTCCAGGCTCTTCCTCCTCTTCACGAAAGAGCCAAGTTCCCTGAGGTTTCCTGACAGGTCTTGTGTGGTGGGTGACTTAGCTAAATGTCCTGCCACATGCCCTCCTTGGTCTCCCCACTTTCTGTGCCGTGAGGCCGAGGTCTTGGGGTGTGGACAAAGCCTTGCATCACTTGCGCTTGTAGGTACTGACAGTCAGGATGCCTGGCGCAGCCTGTCTGCACCTTGGAGGTTGTGGGTTGAGATGGCAGAGCCTGAGACAGAGGAGCTTGGGTGCTGGGCATGGATGTAGCTGCTCTGGAGGCCTCGCCTGGCTCTGTGAGGGCAAGAAGCACCAGTGTGAATCCCGACAACTCACCCTCCACGGAGTGGGGACTTGGACAGAGTGGACATCACCTGCATAGAAACGGCGAGCTGACCAATGGAAACGCAGCCCTACAATGGCTCGCTTTCCAGCTGGCCTGAGTTGGAGGTGTGGATGCTAGTGGTGGGAGCCCCGCCTCTCTCTGAGATGCACCCAGATGTGCTCTCCCTGCCACGGTGTCCCCCAGCTGCAGCTGCCCAGAGACCTTAACCAGGAAGCAGCCAGACCAGCTGGCCCTTCCACTCCTGAATGCTGGCCAGTGAGCCACTTGCAGGATTGACCGAGTAGGCTGGGCCAGGCCCCGCTGACGGCGGCTTCCCACCGTGGCTGTGCCTCACACCAGCCAGCAGAGCGACACGGCTTCCGCCAGGTTCCTCCGCAAATAACGTTACTCTCAACCTCACAGAAGAAAGTCAGGGTCATTGGGCTGGTTTCCCTGGTTCCTATCATACCCCGTAGCTTGGTTGTGCCTCCCCCATCCATCCAAGGAGAAGCAGCACCCCTACCTTCTGCATCACCACTCCCCTACCTCCTGCAGCTCCTCTCCCAGAATTCTGCTCTGCATGCCACCCCTCTAGTCCCGCGTTCCTGTGCAGTAGCCTTGAGCTCAGCCTTAGCCTCTCCCCTCTCCTGCAAACTCCGCCTCCCCCCATGCTTTTCTTTCCTGTGGCTGCTGGCTCCTGCCTTTCATGTCAGTCTCGCTCCTGGGTCCCGTCCCTCCGACACCACCCTCCCCGGAATGCCATCTTCAAGCTCTGCTGAGGTCTTCTAGTCCAGCTCTGGTTTTTCAGGCACCTTCATGGTGCGGCTGGAAATCATGGAAAGTGTGAGTTTAGCAAAACCACCACCTCAAAACAGCCTACAACAAGGGGCTCACCTTGGCCCTGGGGGGCAGAGCAACAACACCCCCGACGAGGCTCCTTGTGGCTGGCAGTAGACAGGACTCAGAGGGCATCAGGGACTGACTTGCCACCCACCGATGCTTATGCATTGCAGACCCTGTTCCCCAGGCCTGTGATGTCCAGTCGAGGGATGGAGCTGGGCGCAGGGACAGTGTGAACGCTGGCTGGTGCGTCCAGGCCACACCTGTTCACCTGTCCTGAATGTGAAGGTTTCCCGGAGAGCAAGTTCAAGCCAACACACAGGAGAACACATACCTCTTCCTGTTGCTTGTTTCCTGGACTCACCTCACTCACCTCTGCTTCCTGCTCCCCAGTTTTCCCACAGAAAAAGTTAAGCTCCACAGCCTGTGGACGCTTCTTCTGTCAGTTAGACATCCCATGTGCCCAGTGGGCTCATCAACTGAATTGCTGAAGCCAAAGAGCATGCTCTCACTCCCCAGCTCTGGCCCCCATCCCCTAACCCCCAGTTGTGGTCCAGCCCACGCTGACAAAGCATCCCACTGAGGACACAGCGTGTCCTTCTCAGCCGTCTCCTGCCCTCGACCATGAGTGCATGTTGGGTGAGCTTTACAGGCCTTTCCACGTGGCAGCTCAGCCCCCTGACAGACGTAGCTGGCCTGGTGTCACCTGGACCCCACTCGTTCTCATGTCCATGGGGTCACGCTGACATGATGACCACCTCCCAGCCTTCTCGGCTTTGCTTCTTACTCATTTTCAGCCATTAACCAACTTTCCTTTTTAACCGTCTTTACTGAGGTCAGTTGGTTTACTACAGCACGTGTGGTGTTTAGAGGAGCGGTGCACGCCTCGTCAGATGTCACAGGCCACAGCCGCCACCCATGCCATTGCCCTCCCCACCCACTGGCGCCTGCCCCCTTCCCTCCTACCCCTTCCTCGTGGGTGCCTCCATCTCACAGTCATATTTCAAGCTTTTGTCTTGCATTCACTGTTTCTAAGTCATGACAGACGGCAAAGTCAAGAGTTGGAACGGTGCAATCACAGGACATTACCCAAGAAAGAGGGAAGCATGTGGGGTGGTGGCAGGCAAGCCACAGCGAGCATCACGCGACATGTGGCACGCTGAGCCTGATGGGGTCTCGGCTCTGCACACGGGCGGCAGGCAGAGGGCATGGCTGGCTCTCGGACTGGAGTCACCTCCTCGGCCAGAATAATAAAGACCAAGCAAGTGCTTCCGGCCCCCCAGAGAGCACCACCTTCCCCAGCCACTGGTGATGGTACCTTCCTGGCCTGGGGGGCCCTGTGTGATGAGGGTCTGACGTAGCATCTGACATTTGGTTACACTCTCAGCCCTTCCTTGTGCTCCTGAAAGGGAGCATTTCTTGTGTTTTTGTGTCTGACCCCATCACTCCGCCCTCCCCTCCACTGTCCTCCCATCAGAGTTCAGAGTGAGGCCTTCAGGGTCCCGAGGACGGCAGGTCAGATGGGGAGAGAGGTCCTCCCACCTCATACCCCTCCAAACACCCAAGCCGAGCAGGGCCTGGGGGAGAGTTCTAA